TCAACATAAGCTTTTATACAAGATCAGGAGCCCTTGCTCACAATCATTCATGGTTGGACTGCTGCAATGTGCTTAACATGGAGCTGTCCTTGAAGAATATCCAGAAATTACAACGTTTCCAAAATACAGTGGCATGCAGTGCTGAGGGGTTCTAGATTTCTCCATGATATATGTCTGTTATGTGAACTGCGTTGGTTCAATTGTCTGCATTGTCTTTTGCAGACAATTCAAAGTGCTGGTTACTACCTTTAAAACCTTACATTGGCAGCTTACTTGTGAGATTGCCCCTCCCTGTAGGTTTTCTGCCCATCAGATAGAGTAGGTGTTCTTCAATTTGCAATAGCAATAGCAGTTAGACTTATATACCGCTTCATAGGGCTTTCAGCCCTCTCTAAGCGGTTTACAGAGTCAGCATATCGCCCCCAACAACAATCTGGGTTCTCATTTTACCCACCTCGGAAGGATGGAAGGCTGAGTCAACCTTGAACCGGTGAGATTTGAACCGCCGAACTGCAGATAGCAGTCAGCTGAAGTGGCCTGCAGTACTGCACTCTAACCACTGCGCCACCTCGGCTTCCAGAGGCCATGCTGTGTGTGCACTTTCCCTGCCTTGTTTTTTTTTTTTAAGAACATAAAATTACCTACTTGATCTTCCACCTTTTCCACAATTGTACAGTTGTGGCCTACAGTATATGAATTTTCAAATGTTTACTTCCCTTTCAGTTTCAACACTGCCTTAAAATGTGGTGCTCGTGTTCTAAATGTACAGGATGCTACGCTGCATTCAATAGTATATGTTTTCAAACATTTGATGTGGGGGGAAAAACCTACTGGTGCCATGATACTTTAGAAATGAAAAGAGCTCTCCTATAGATCCGCCCTTGGTCAACTACAGATGGTTCTGTCTTTTATTAAACAAATTAACCCGGGATCAAACACTCATATTTGAAAAAGAACTTCAGCATAACTTAAAAGGTCACATCTATTCAAGTGTGCCTGATCTGTTTGAAGATTGAATGAAATATATTACGGGGCCATTGTGGGTTGATTTTGATGCATTTGACATGTTTGATTTGGTAGGTGCATTGTTGGGCTGCAATGTTTTTGAATGGAATATTGGGAAAAAAATCTATTGAAAACTTTTCTAGGGCAGGAGTTTTCTGGAAAATATTTCTGTAATCTTATCAAAAGCTTCTAAATCATAAATCTAAATTCATGTCCTGCAATTACTGTGCCACTTAACCAAGAAGGAGTGATAAACGGTTAACCAGTAGCCCACATGGGTTTAAAATATCCCTCCACATCAGTGGTGGGTTTCAAATTTTTTTAGAACCTCTTCTGTAGGTGTGGCCTGATTTGTGGGAGTGGCTTGCCGACCATGTGATGCTGGGATTGGCTTGCCAGCCATGTGACTGGGTGGCCAACTTGTAAAATGTGGTGAAACTTACTTAACAACGTTCTTGCTTAGCAACCAAAATGTTGGCTCAGAAACTCTGGCATTTGAAGCACGCAAGTCTTAAAGCTGTCAAGTTACAAGACCCCTGGAATTTTTTTTCTAATGGGTTAGGGTTGTAAGGGTATTGTAACTTGACAGCTTTAAGACTTGCGTGCTTCAAATGCCAGAGTTTCTGAGCCAACATTTTGGTTGCTAAGCAAGAACGTTGTTAAGTAAGTTTCACCACATTTTACAAGTTGGCCCCCCCCCCCCAGTCACATGACTGCAAAGCCATGCCCCCTCTGTCACATGGCTGGCAAGCCACTCCCACTCGGTCACATGG